GCGGCGGCGCCTTGCTGGGAGGGAAGGGCGGTGGGGCCGGCGGCGGCGGCGGCGGCGGCGGCGAGAGCCCTGGCGGGAAGGGCGGCGGGAAGGGGGGCGGACCCGGTGGCTTGGGCGGCGGCGGGTTGGGCGCCTTGCTGGGAGGGACGGGCGGTGGCGCCGGCGGCGGCGGCGGCGGCGGCGGCGAGGGCCCTGGCGGGAAGGGCGGCGGGAAGGGGGGCGGAGCCGGTGGCTTCGGCGGCGGCGGGTTGGGCGCCTTGTTTGGGGCGAAGGGCGGCAGCGGCGGCGGCGGGGCGGGCGCCTTGCCGGGCGGGAAGGGCGGCGGCGGGTGGGGCGCCTTGCCGGGTGGGAAGGGGGACGGCGACGGCGCAGTGCCTGGCGCGAAGGGCGGCAGGGGCGGCGGCGGAAGCGGCGCCTTGCCCGGAGGGAAGGGCGAGGGCGGCTTAGGGCGGTGGGGCCGGCGGCGGCGGCGGCGGCGGCGGCGAGAGCCCTGGCGGGAAGGGCGGCGGGAAGGGGGGCGGAGCCGGTGGCTTCGGCGGCGGCGGGTTGGGCGCCTTGCTGGGAGGGAAGGGCGGTGGGGCCGGCGGCGGCGGCGGCGGCGGCGGCGAGGGCCCTGGCGGGAAGGGCGGCGGGAAGGGGGGCGGAGCCGGTGGCTTCGGCGGCGGCGGGTTAACCGCAGCGTCACAGTCTCGTCCTGCGCGAGGTTGATCTGCGGGATCGCGACGTTGATGCGGTTGTGCTTCGCGGCATTGCGCGGCACGTACGCCGTCTCGCTGGTGATGATCAGGTCAAAAGGCTCGCCGTCGGCCGTCATCCCGACTGATGCGAGGTGCATGTTCTCCGGAGAGTCGTCCGGGCCGGGGCCGGCGCCGCCGAGGTTGTTGTTCTGCAGCGTCGCCAGGCTGAAGTCGATCAGGTTGTGCGTCTCGTCCGAAGCACAAATGCAAGGAGACGACGGCGGTACAGGTAATGGGGGCGGAGGCGGCGGTTGCAGTGGGAAGGGCGGTGGCTCCCGTGGCGACAGGCAGCATGGATCAACAACGGGGAACGGATTGACGCCTGCAAAGAGGAAGTTGCGCCCGCCGCACGGGGTGGGGCTGCATGTGGCCGCCGTGGTCGAGTAGGTGAACCTCACCGTCGAGGTGTCGCGATACCAGAGCGTCACCGAGCGTGAGAGCTGCTCCGACGTCAGTGACAGTGGGTCCGTCGGGTTGTCCGCCAGCGTCCCTTCCCTTGTGGAGGAGAAGGTGACGGAGCCGTCCGGCGCGGTGCTGACATCGAGCTCCGTGTTGGGGTCGACGTCGTACTTGACGAAGCCGCTCGCCGTGAGGGACTCCGCCCCAGACGGCAGGTCAGTCTCTTGGTCGAGGTCGTAGTAGGTGAAGAAGAACTCGCGCAGCACGACGGGCTGGCCGCTGCTGTCGACAAAGTCGAACCGCAGCGTCACAGTCTCGTCCTGCGCGAGGTTGATCTGCGGGATCGCGACGTTGATGCGGTTGTGCTTCGCGGCATTGCGCGGCACGTACTCCGTCTCGCTGGTGATGATCAGGTCAAAAGGCTCGCCGTCGGCCGTCATCCCGACTGATGCGAGGTGCATGTTCTCCGGAGAGTCGTCCGGGCCGGGGCCGGCGCCGCCGAGGTTGTTGTTCTGCAGCGTCGCCAGGCTGAAGTCGATCAGGTTGTGCGTCTCGTCCGAAGCACAAATGCAAGGAGACGACGGCGGTACAGGTAATGGGGGCGGAGGCGGCGGTTGCAGTGGGAAGGGCGGTGGCTCCCGTGGCGACAGGCAGCATGGATCAACAACGGGGAACGGATTGACGCCTGCAAAGAGGAAGTTGCGCCCGCCGCACGGGGTGGGGCTGCAGACAGCCGCGGTCGTCGAGTGGGTGAGCGTCACTGTCGAGGTGTCGCGGTACCAGAGCGTCACAGCCTTCGCGCGCTGCTCCGCTGTCAGGGAGGCCGGGTCCGTCGGGTTGTCCGCCAGCGTCCCTTCCTTGGTGGAGGAGAAGGTGACGGAGCCGTCCGGCGCGGTGCTGATGTCGAGCTCTGTGTTGGGGTCGACGTCGTACTTGACGAAGCCGCTCGCCGTGAGGGACTCCGCCCCGGACGGCAGGTCAGTCTCTTGGTCGAGGTCGTAGTAGGTGAAGAAGAACTCGCTCAGCACGACTGGCTGGCCGCTGCTGTCGACGAAGTCAAATCGCAGCGTCACGGTCTGCCGCACGCGGTGGCGCGCTGAGGCCGAGGCACTGCTGGTCGCGGCGCTGGGCGAACTCACATCGGCGCCTCGGCAAGCCGCGAGCGAGGCCGCCCGCCTGCCAAGGCCGCGCGAGCTATTTCCTATTTGTGAGGCCAAAGGGTCCTGTAGTGTACCTTTGTTAGTGCCAGAGCGCGCTAGTCCCGTGCCCAGTGTCGTGCGAGGGTCCTGAGCTTTGAGCACTTTTGAGCACGAGAGAGCTGAGATGACCACTTCTGAGAGAGAGGCCGCCGCGAGAGAGCTCTGTGAGAAAAGCGCCGTGCGCCGTGCCCAGTGAGCAGTGTCGTGCGAGGGAGCTTTGTCGCCAGTGGCAGCAGTGCGATAGCGCCAGTATCTCGAAGCACTTCCTGTGTCCGGCCGCGTGTCGGCTCACGCGTTCGCCCGAATTTCTTTTTCGCACGACACTGGGCACAGGACTGGGCACGGGACTTTTTGTTGTAAAATTCTTTTTCGCGCGACGCTCCAAGAACGAGCCCGCCCCCCCACTTTTCGAGCGCCTTCCAGAGCGCGCGCTTGCGCCGGCGCCCAATGGCGGCCGATGAGCCTCTGCCGGCTACGGCGGGGAGCCTCACCTGCGTACCGCCGCCACTGAATCTGCCGCCAGCCGTCAAGACGAGGCCCGCCGGCCGCGGCATCCGCTTTCGGCGGTCGTCCCGCAACCTCGACACAGCCTCAGAGCAGTCGTCTCGTGAGACAGAGCTCGAGCCGGCGGCGGAGGGGCAGGCGGCGACCGCCGAAGGCGCGGCGGCGGGGCAGTCGCCGTGCGGCGGGAGCGGGACGGCGCGGCGACGGCGCGGCGCTGGCGGCGCGAGCCCAGCAACGCCCGGCGAGGAGGACTCCCACCACCGGCTCTCGGACGCGCACATCGCGTACTTTGAGGACCAGGAGCGGCTGTTCCGGCAGCGGCCGCAGCTCGACGGAAAGAGCCGCGCCGTCACCGACGGCCGGCGCGCCTCGTCGCGCGTGCCGCTGCGCGAGAGCCTCGAGAGCGGTGACCAGATCGACCTCGGGTACTACGACCCGGCGGCGCGGCACTACGCGTGGGTCAAGTACGCGCACCAGACGGGCGACTGGCGCATGCGCCTCCAGCTCTTCCTCGAGGACTGGCAGTCCTCGCCCGGCGCGACCTCGCTGCCTCTCTCGCACCTCGCACCGCGTGGCTGCCGCCGCCCTGAGCCGTGTGTCTCCGAACCTCCCTGCAGGCGCCTTTGTCTTCACGCTGACCGTGACGCTCGCGATCATCGCCCAGGTCATCCTGATGATGGTCGCCACAAACTCGTTTGGCGCGGCTCGACGCACACGCCGCGTCCGGACGAGCCGAGCAGCAGCTCGAGACGCTTCTCGGAACCTTCCTGCAGGCGCGGACCGGCTCAACGAGTGCGCGATCTGGGTGCTGAGCTGGGTGGCCTGCCCCCGCCTCTCTCCGCACACCCTCCTCCCCGGGGCTCGCCCCCTCTCCACACCCGCCGTGTGTGAGAGAGCCTCACTGGCTTCTTCACGCTTCTTCACACTTCTTCACGCTTCTTCGCGCTTCTTCGCACTTCTTCACAGGTCCTCACTGGCTTCTTCACTATCGAGCTCGTCCTGCGCACCGTCTCGAAGCGCTCCTCCCGAGGAGGGTCCTGTCTCGCCGACGGGAGCCGGGGTCTCAGCCGAGGCTTGGCCGGGAGTAGGCGCTCCTCCTGCAAGGAGATGTGCTTCTAGTCAACACTCATTAGCACTCATTAGCACTCATTAACACTCATTAGGCGCTCCTGCAAGGAGATGTGCTTCTCCGCCTACTGGTGGATTGACCTCGTCTCGGTGCTGCCCGACTATGTCGCCCTCGTCCTCGCCACCGCCGCCGGGTGCCAGCTCGACCGTTGGCTGCGTACACTGCGGCGAGGAGCCTCCGTCAGCCCTCTCGGAGCCTTCCGCCAGGTACGAGCTCGACCGCTGCGCGATGGCGGACGACGACAGCGACGACGACGACGTGATCGAGACTCTGCGCGCGTTCCTCCGCGTCTTCCGCGTCGTGCGCCACCCATCGACCCCCTCCGACCCCCTCCGATTCCCTCCGATCCCCTCCGATCCCCTCAGTTTCCCTCAGCTTCTCTCAAACAGACCTCAGATTCCTCCGATCCCCTCCGATCCCCTCCGATCCCCTCCGCTTCCCCTGCCTCGCGACGCCGCGCCCCCTCCTCCGCGCGCGCGGCGTCGCGTCCCCTCACGCGACGGCTGCCGGCTGCGGTCAGGTGCGGATCCTCAAGATAGCGCGCCTCAACCCCGACACGACGGTGCTGTACCGCGCGATCCGGCTCTCGACCCGCGCCCTCGCCGTGCCCTTCACCTTCCTGCTCATCGGCGCATTCTTCTTCGGCGCCCCCCTTTGCGCGTGGCGGCGTGGCGCGCCCCACGCGAACCCGTCCACGACGCGTCCCCCCCGACTCGCGGCTGTCAGGCGCAATCATCTACTACCTTGAGCACATCGAGCTCGAGGTGCTCGCGGGCGGCAACGCGACTGAGGGCGGCAGCCCGTACAACGACCTCGGCGAGGCGATCTGGTGCCGACGCCGCCTCTAGAGATATGGGGAGATAGAGCTCTATGGGGAGATATGGGGAGATATGGCGATCTGGTGCCGACGCCGCCTCTAGACACTTCGTGCACACGTCCTGCACACTCCCTGCACTCTCCCTGCACACTTCCTAGGCACTTCCTGCACACTTCACGCCTTTAGCACGGCGCTCTGCGGGTGTGAGGAGCGCGTCTTCACGCTGTGCGGGCGGCTGGCAGGTGCATGATCGTCACCTTCACGACGGTCGGGTACGGCGACGTGTCGCCCGAGGGGCACCTCGGCAAGATGGCCTGCTCGCTCGCCACCTCTTCTTCTCGGTCGACGAGTGCCATCGCTCACTCACAACTCGCTCACAAGCGTAGGTCTGCTCGCTCGCCATCTTCGCGGGCGTGGTGCTCCCCACGGCGCACCCTCGCATCCGCCTTGCTTGCGCCGTGCGCGAGCCTTCCCCGGCGCGTCCGCGTAGGTGCTCATCGCGATGCCGCTCGCTATCGTGGGCAACAATTTCGTCATCGCGTGGGAGGAGCGCGCGACGATGGCCTTCGTGCTGCAGGTGCAGCGCACGTGCATCGACCGCAGCATCTCCCCATGTCTCCCCATGTCTCCCCATATCTCCCCATATCTCCCCCATATCAGGTGCAGCGCACGTGCATCGACCGCAACATCTCGCTCCTCGGCATCCAGAAGCTCTTTGAGGACGCGGACACGCACGGCTCGGGCTATCTCGACTACCTCGAGTTTCGCGTCTTTTGCGAGGAGCTCGGCCTCGAGTACACCCCCTCCGAGGCGCGCCGCCTCTTCCGCCTCTTCGACGAGGGCAAGACGGGCGGCATCACCTTCTTCGAGTACTGCCACACCATCTTCCCCGACCTCGACGTCGAGTGGCTCTACGACCGCGGCGTCGTCGGCGTCGGCCTAGGGGGCGCGAGCGGCGCCGCGTCCGACACGTACCCTCGCATGAGCGCAAAGCCCGCCAGCCAGCACGGCGCGCCAGCGCGGACGGGGCGGCGGCCGCTCGGGCGGCTGCGTGCGGCGCCTCTTCACACCCTCCCGCTGTGCACAGGCCGCCACTCGGCGGGCGGCTGCTCCGCCGGCCACTCGCGCGACGCGTCGAGCGGCGCGCGCACTCTCTCTCGCGCGCGTCTCCGCCGCGAGTCTCGGCGCGACTCGGCTCACTGTCGCCCCCCCCCTTCTCCCCCCCCCCTCTCCCCCCCCGCTCGCGCTCCTCCAGGCGCGCCGTCGCTCGTCTCTCCGCCGCGCCGCCTCTCGCCGCACCGCTCCCCAAAGCTGCGCCGTGACTACTCGCCGCCGCGCGACGCGGGCAGCCCTGCCGGCAGGGTGGCAGTGGGCAGCCCACCGGCACGCGGGGTGCCACCCCCGCCCGGGTGGGCGCCCAAGGGGTACGGCCCGCCGCCCCCGCCGGGCATGAGCAGCCCGAAGGGGCTCGGCGGCGAGCGGGTCGGCTGGGGCGGCCTGCGCGGCGGCGGCGTCGGCACGCGCAACCGCGCGACGGCAATCATGAAGCAGGCGTCGCGCACGGAGCTGCGCGGCGGCGGCAGCATGGCGGGCAGCAGCATGAGCGGCAGCCGCGACGAGCGCTCCTGGCACGGCGCGTGCGGCTTGCAGCCGCCCCACCACCACGGCCGACACCTGGACCGCTTCCCCGCCGCCCCTGTGCGGGCGAGCAAGACGACTCCAAACCTGCCCCGCCTGCCGGCGCCGCTGCCGCGCCACCACCGCTCCGCGTCCAACGTCTTCGCCCGCCCCGACGCGCCCGCCTCCTCCTGCGCCGCCGGCGCGGACTTGCCTGCGGCGCTCGCCGGCGCATTGGCGGAGGAGGCGTCGGACCCGACGTCGCCGCAGCAGCGCCGCCGCGCGGAGGAGGAGTGGCTCCATCCCCGCTCGCCGCTCGCAACCGCCGCCGAGCGGGGCTGGGAGCGGGGGGGCGGCGGCGGCGGCCCCGCGCTCGAGGCGTCTCAGCTGGCGGCGACGCAGCAGCAGGTGCAGGTGCAGCGGCAGCAGCAGGTGCAGATGCAGCAGCAGCAGGCGCAGATGCTCGCGCTGGTGCGGCGTCTGGACGCGCAGCAGGCGGCGCTCGCGCTCGCACTGGAGCGGATCGAGCGGCAGCTCGGCACCGCCCGCGCCGACGAGCGCCCCATGATCCAGCGCGCCGCGCCCGAGCGGTCGTCGGCAGCCTCCTCCTCCTCCTCGGACGAGGACGAGCAGCCGTTCCTGCTCCGATGACAGCGGGCGGCGGGCGGCGCGGAGGCTGCGGCACGCGGAGGCTGCAGCGCGCGGCGCCCGCTCGAGAGGCGAGAGGAGAGACCGGCGAGTGCGGGGAGTGGAGTTGCAGCTGCGGCCGGATGGCCGGCGGAGAGGAGACGACGCGCGAGCGAGGAGCCGCGTGTCGGGGAGCGGGAGGGCGCATGTGTCGGGTGTGTGTGTGGCGCTGTCGTCGCGCTGAGTATTGAGTCCATCGCGTACCTCGGGTGCACACCATGTTGAGAATTAACACATCCATACTTTTGGTCAGATTGTCGGGAGTGGTCCCATTGCGGCGAGTGCTGCAGCGAGGTCTCCCCGCCTATGTTGATAGCGGGAGTCAACTCGCGGCCCGACACCGGCCCAACATGTTGCAGCGCTTTGACGAGGCGACTGGCCTTGCTCTCTGGAAGGCTCCCAACGGACCGGTCGGCAAGTTGAGTGAGACTGAACGTGTCACCTATGCCCAGCTGGAGGCGTCGAAGGCGCAGCTGCTCATCGCGAAAGCAGGGCGCCCAGACGCGGCTGGCGTTCTTGAGTGTCTCGAGCGAGACGGCCTTGGTCCCAACCGCGAGGCAATCGACATCGCTGATGAGGAGAAACCTCGGCGCGTCACGGCGCTCTCGATTGCCGCGCAAGTTGGCTGCGCGGAGAACGTCGCGGTGCTGCTCGATTGGGGTGCTGTTGTCGATTGGACGAGCGATTGCAACCACCGGCGCACACCGCTGTTCTACGCATGCCGCGGCGGGCACGAGGATGTCGTTCGCCAGCTTCTTGAGGCGCGGGCAAGTGTGACCGCCGCACGCGACGCTCGCAGCGGAGCCTCGGCGCTGCACGAAACGATGGTCTCTCAAGAATGCGCAGATTCGCACCTGCGCTGTGCGCGCCTGCTCATCGAGCATGGCGCCGACGTCGATCTGCCTGTTCACGAGGATGGTAGCACCCCGTTGATCGCCGCCTGTTGTCTGGGCGCCAACGCCTTCGTCAATATGCTGCTTGAAGCCCGCGCCAACGTCGCGGCGAGCCTGCACAATTTGACGGCGTCCGATGGGCAGACCTTTAACGGGCAGACAGCGCTCATGGTGGCGGCGGAACAGGCCGAGTTTCGTGTGGTGCAGACCTTGCTCGAAGCCGGCGCGGCGCATGCTTCCGTCACAAGCCACGGCTGGACGGCGCTCTCCTTTGCAAGCGCAGCGGGCAACACGCCCGCCGCTCGACGGTGCGTCACGCTGCTTCGCGAGGCGCGCCGGGACGCGGGACGGCTTGCCGCGCCACCGACGGCGGAGGCCGCAGCGGCCGCAGACGCTATGGCAGCGCTGCTGCTGGCTGAAGAAGAGGGGCCTGCACCTGTGCCCAATGCGAGCAAGCGGAGCCAGAAGAAGAAGAAGACGCGGAAGGCTTCGTCTACGCCGGCGGACATGGCGCCAGAGGCGTCCCCGCGCGACGGTGGAGCCGGCCTCTGCGTCGTCTGCATGGACACGCCGAGCTGCATGGCATTCGTGCCGTGCGGACACGTTTGCTCCTGCGGCAAGTGCGCATCGAGCCTTGCCTCCTGCCCGATCTGCCGCAAAACCATCGCCTCGCGCCTGCGGATATATCCGTCCTGAGGTATATGGCTTCATTTACCCTCTTTTTCAGGTGCACGGAACTTGGAGCACTTGGAGTAACATTTTTCTTCAGGAGAGCGAGGGGTGACTGCCCCCCCCCCCCCCTCCCCCCCCACACACAGACTACTCTTTGCTCAGTTTTTTAGTAGTACCGCGCCGCAGTGGGGCCATTGGGGGCAACGCTACCTACCCTCGAGGGAGCCCGAACCAGCCGGAGAACGGCGCCTGAGGCTTGGTCTTCATGACGTCGCGAGCCGCCGCCAAGGCGACGGCGTTTGCACGGCGCTGCCCAGTCTGCTGGGAGGACATTCAGGCGCCTGTGGTCACGGGCTGCGGCCACCGCTTCTGCGAGGAATGCATTAAGGCTGCGCTCAACGTCAAGAAGGAGTGCCCGACATGCAGGGCGCGCATTCCTTCGCACCGGTCTTTGCGTGCGGATGCTGCGTTCGCGGAGCTCAGCGGAGCAGCAGCACCCTCATCCGTACGCATAGAGGCCGATGGGATGCCGTCCGCTCCTTCCGACTCGTGGCCATGCACGTCATGCACGCTGAGCAATCCCATGGCGGTCAGCCGCTGTATGGCTTGCGCAGCCCGCCGGCCTACTGCGCCCACTATGCGCAGTGATGAGCCCCAGCTTGCAAGGAGGAGCGGCGGCAAGCGTGTTCGCGATGCGGACGGCGGCAGCCAAATGCTGCGGGAGGAGCTGAGGCAGGCCGCCGGCTCGGCCGCCACCGACGGTGGGGATCGCGAGGCCGTGATTCTCGATGGGGTGGCCTTGCCCGTGCCAGCGCTGGACACCAGTGCGAAGCGTTCGGCGCTACTGTACCAGGGCGGGAGGCTGCAGCGTCGAAAGATGGCAGGCGCCAACGCGCCGGCGACTGAGGCGGAGCCGTTGCCCCTTGTACGCAGCATTTGGCACAGCAAGTCGGGCTACAAGAACGTGACATACAACGCGAGCGAGAAGGCGAAGAAGAAGCCTTGGCAGGCTAGGGCCGACGATCACAAGTCGCTCGGCATGTTTGCCACCGCGGAGGAGGCGGCAGCTCGCTACTCGCGCCACCTCGGCCCGGAGTTGGCCGCCTCTCTCGCCGCGGCGGTCGAGCGCGAAGCGACACCGATGAGCAGCCAGGAGGCGCTTCGCCTCGCTGAAAGCGAGGGGCTGACGCTCGAAACCGCACCCCGCTCCGCGAGCAGCAAGGATGGTGAGCGGTCTCAAGCGACGGCGTACAAGGGCGTGTTTGCCGTGCCCCATGGGCGTCGCCGCTTCCTCGCGCGCTTCCATTCGGGCGGGCGGACGCACACACTTGGATGTTTTCACACCGCGGAGTTGGGCGCCCTGGAGATTGCGAGGGCGAAGGCGAGACTGTAGCGGGAGGAAAGAGACAGCTCGATGTCCAGAGAAGCGGGGGGAAGTCAACGAATGACGAAAATAGTGTATAGTTCCTGTACGTACAGTACGGCTTTACTCCTACGGCTTTATAGAGAGAGATCTCTCACACACAGCACACCACGGGAAAAAGGGTTCCTCATGATTCTATTCGTAACTAACAATGTGAGTCTCTCCCTCACACTCTATTCTCCCTCAGCTCTCACACGGCGTCACCGGCCGACCGGCCTTCCCTCTCCGCCGTCCGCCGCCGGCCCCGGCCCCAGCGGCGAGGGGCGCCCCGGGCGGCGGCGCGGCGGCGTCCACCCTGCGGTAGAGGACGTCCGCGCGGAGCACCCACTTGACGCCGCGCCTCACCTCCTCCGCCTCGTGCATGCAGCAGCGGCGGCCGTGCGCGTGCAGCAGCGCCACCCCCGCGCGCGGGCTCACGCGGCAGAGCTCCGCCTTCGCCGTCCGCATGAAGACCGTGTCGCCGCCCACGAGCGGCTGCTGCGCCTCCTCGCCGGCCGCCTCGCCGGCCACCGCCTCTCCCTGCGTGTTGAGGTAGACGAGCAGAGTGAACTCGGTCTCCTCGCCCGGCCCGCCGCCCTTGTGGCTGGTGTCGACGTGCAGCCCGAACGAGTGGCCGCGGCGGTAGCGGTAGAACTTGAGCAGCGACGCGCCGCCCGCGCCGTGCACGTCTCCGTGCAGCCCGACCGGCGAACGGCCGTCGAGGGGAGGCAGGAGCGGGAGGAGCCGGCGCCACAGCCGCGCGGCGAGCGGCTGGTCCACCAGCGCGAGCGTCTCGCGGCACAGGAAGGCCTCGCCCTTCTTCGGCCGCAGGTCGTCTGGCCGCGGAGGCTGCAGCCCGATCGAGCTCGCCGCCGTCACGAGGGCCCAGCACTCGTCGGGCGACAGGAAGTGGTCGACCGCGACGATGAGGCCGCGCTGGTCCGGGACGAGGTCGCGCACCACGCGCTCCTCCCACGCGCCGTCGTCGAGCAGGCTGTGCTGCAGGCTGTGGCCAGGCGGCGCGACCTGCGCCGGCCTCGGCATTCTCGGGCAGAGGCTGACACACGGCAGCGGTGGCAGCGATGGCCCTTGCGGTTCGGGTGAAAAGAATAACGCACGCCACTCCAGCGGAAGGAGCGCCGCAAGCGGCGTGGCGTGGAGCGGTTGTGCATCCCTCCGGGGGGCCCTCTGCGCCGGGGAGGCGTTGTTGGAGAGGCTAGGACGCAAGCGCTTAAACTCGGGGCCCTTTTCAAACTCGGGGCCGCCCACTCCGCTACGCTCCAACCCGAATTTGGAGGGCCTAAAAGTTTTTAAGGTGTTGCTGCGCAAAAGGGGTCGGACACAGGGCGCAGCTCATGTCCTCACTCAGGGGGGTGCCACAACTACCCCGAGTCCCTCGACTAGCTGCCACGTTGCCGACCGAGAGAGAGAGAGAGAGAGAGATGGAAAAGGGTGGTGTTTAGAAACACCGGGGGTTGGGTGAAGCTGTGCTTACGCGCGCTCTCCGCGGATGCGGCGGGCCAGCTGGATGTCCTTGGGCATGATGGTGACGCGCTTGGCGTGGATGGCGCACAGGTTGGTGTCCTCGAAGAGGCCGACGAGGTAGGCCTCGGACGCCTCCTGGAGCGCGACGACGGCCGACGACTGGAAGCGCAGGTCGGTCTTGAAGTCCTGCGCGATCTCGCGCACCAGGCGCTGGAAGGGCAGCTTGCGGATCAGGAGCTCCGTCGACTTCTGGTAGCGGCGGATCTCGCGGAGCGCGACGGTGCCCGGGCGGTAGCGGTGCGGCTTCTTGACGCCGCCGGTGGCGGGGGCCGACTTGCGCGCCGCCTTGGTGGCGAGCTGCTTGCGAGGCGCCTTGCCGCCGGTCGACTTGCGTGCTGTCTGCTTGGTGCGTGCCATGGTTGTTTGATTGAGTGGTTGGTGATTAACCGTACGGCGCCGGGTCCTTTATCGTTTCCGAGGTGCGGGTGAGGGGCAAAGCCCTGCAGCGGCGCGGCTTCCTGCCTCGCTTTGGAGAGGAAGCGCTGCGGCGCGGCGCCATGCGCTTTGCCTTCCGACTAGCGACCTCCTCCAGGCCGAGAGCACGCCCACTGCGCTGCCCCGGTGGCGGTGCGCTCGCACGCGCCGCGGTCGCACGCTTCCCTCGCCACCCGCCACGCTGGAGACGGCGTCGGGGATGCGTGGGGGTGTACGCTAGGCTGATCCGCGCTCGGCGCTGCAGGCGTGACCGCGCGGCTGCGTGGCCGTCTCCCGGGTGTTGTGCACAGCCCGCCGTCCCGTCCGTGGTTGTGAAGTTAGCTCTGGCGCCAAAGCTCCCATGTCCGCTCCCTCGCTCTGCGTCGCCGCGACTCCATCATCCTCCAAGCCCAATCCTTTGACGGTGAGCGCCACGCCCGCTCAGTCGTCTCCTCACTACTGCACCCTTCGAGTTCGCTCGTGGACCCGCCCGCTCGCTCTCTCTCCTGCCGGGGCCTCGCGGCCGCAGCCCGCCGTCTCGCTCAACTGCGCCCTTCTCTTTCGCCATTGCCCTCATGTTGTGTCTGGTGCGCCGCCTTCGAATACTCACGAGTCCCCTCGTCCGCCGCCGCAGGAGCGACGACCTCGAGCGGAGCGGCTCTAGCTCTCCCACAACGCCTCGAGGCCCACACACGCCCTCCTCCCGTCGACCGCCTGCCCGACAGCAGCGGTGCGATCGGCGAAGCAGCCGACAGCGCTGGAGCCGCTGGCAAGGCTGTCGAGTCGAGCGACGGCGGGAAGGGCTCGGGCGGCGCGTGGAGATCCCGAGTCGCCAGGGTCCGTCTCCAACATCCCGCTCGAGACCGCTCGAGATCACCAAGATCGCGATCTTGTCTCGCGGTGAACGATCAGTTGGCGGCGGCGGCGCTGCCAGAGCGCCACACGCCCCGCCAAACTCACGACGGCGTAACGATCGACGTCAGATCGCGCCGATCACGTCGAGTCCAGGTCCGACATGCCGCTCGAGACCACCCGAGATCACCGAGATCGCGAGCTCGTCTCGAGATGAGGGAGCAGTAGGCGGCGGCGGCGCTGTCAGAGCGCCAAAAGGCGTTTCACGCCGCCTCATCATGACTCTGGACTTGCTCGCCCAAAAGAGTCGCTCCTCACAGAGATTCTGGTGCAACGCTGCCAGCCTGGCAACATCGCTGACGCACCCGCCAGCGCCTACTCGGCCGTGATTGGCATCCGCTCGACTGACAACGCGGCGATGGTCTACCGCGCGCTGCGCCCCCAGGCGAGGTGCTGCTCCATCCGTTCCCCCCGACTATGTCCCGGCGCTGCGGACAGTATGAGTATCGAATCCACCCCTCCCTCTGGCCGCTGTGCCGCATGGGCCATGGCCCAGCTGCGCCAATATGCAGACCTGAGCGCTGAGGGCCGCGGCCGGGCGGAGAGTTGGCGGCGCGTGTGTCGTACTGGATTTTACGCTCGTTGCGGGTACTGGATCTTCCGATGTTGGGTAGAGATGTCCATGTATGAGAGCGCGCGAGACCGAGAGAGGAAAATGGAGAAGTGTGGTGTGTGAAATCCATCACGGTGCGGCTGGGCTTTGGTCCGTTTACCCCACTCATAAGGCCCTTTTCTGCGCTACAATGTGCGCTCCGCGCCCCTAGCACCGCCCCGTCTCCCCCGCCGTGCCCGCGCCACATGTCACCTCGTACTCCCGCGCGCGGTTTCCCTGGTCCGCCTCCCCCCCGGCCACTCGGCTCTACGCGCCCGGCGGGCTCGGCCTCGCAACTATGCGTGTGCGGTGAGCCGCCCCACCGTCGGGCGCGATCGGCCTTTGCGGCGCACAGGATGGTACTTCCCGATTTATGTGGCGCATACCGCCCCCCCCCCAACCCTCAGCACCCTCATGGCAAGCACTACGCCAATTATTTAGTGACAGAAAAATCGGTATCTCACGGAATCCAACCAAAACCGCCGCAGGTCCGGGCGGGGCCGAAAACGGCTTTTGCTGCCAGACAGCTACAACGTCCAGAAGGTCATCGCGTGGCGGCAGAGAGCTGGGGGGATCGAGCTTCTGACCGCTTGGGAAGACTACGATGTCGATGGTTGGACGTGGGAGCCCCTCGACAACATCCCCCAGCGGTTTGTTCGGGCCTTTCATGCGCAGCGCGAACGTCTCCCGACATCCTTTTTCTACGTCGTGACCAGGATGCGCGACCGGATCGCCTTCAAGGTGATCGAGAGGACCGGCCCGATGTTTGGGCTTGCTGTCCTGGTCGAGGAGGCCTCCCTGCGCGAGTATGCGCTCGCGCTGCTGCAGTACTTCTCTACTCCTCCGAGCGGCACAAAGGCCAAGATCGCGGTCAAGGAGGACCACTGGCAGCGGGCGCACACACTCACCATCTTCTCGCAGGAGCACGCCGCGTGGATCGTGTCGCTGCACGAGTCGCGGCCTACCCACGGCGTCGGCGCGCTCCGCATCAGGGGCGCGCGACGCATGTCCAACATGCTGCTCGTCGCGTGCAATGCTCGCACGCCGATGCGCCTCTCCTTTGTGGAGCCGCGCGCAGGCGGCTCCGACGCGCCTGCCCCCGGCTCCTACAAGTTCACGGTCGAGTTCACCACCGTGGGCATCAACTCGGCGACGGGCGACATCATGCCGTACACCGCGCCGACGGACGAGCTGCGCCTCGAGATGGCAGAGGCGCACGCGCTGGTTGCGTACGCGAAGAAGACGCTCAAGCAGCCGTGGGCGGCGGAGCCTGTCCGGCACAGGCTGCGCGCTAGCGGCTGGTGCGACCAGCCGGTGGCGTTTCAGTAGAATCCGTACATACCGGCACAGTCTAGCACGCGTGTGTGCCCCCACCCACACACGCGCGTGGCCCCGCGCTGGTTCCCGCGCGGCACTTCATGCGGAGCTCCTGGCGTGAGTGCACACTGTCCCGGGCGTCCAGCTGATGTCGTGCCACGCTTATGGTTGGTTTATTAAAGGTAATACTACACACAAACCGTCCCTGGGACTGCACAGGAGCCGGCGATAGGCGCGCGCGTGAGCAGCTGCTCGGAGCTGTGTTGTGTGTGTTCTCGCTCGAGTTCACCAGACAAGCCGAGCGTATCGTGCGAAGATGCTCGCGAAAACGCGCTGGAGCACCCAAAACGCGGAGCGCCCACGGCTGCTGTTCCGCACAGCGCGTTCGACGGCATGTTACGGCTAGAGGCGGGCGGTGGGGTGCAGCTCGCGTGCGGGTCGCTGTCACCGCCCTGCCGAGCCAAGCTGTCTGAGGTCGGCAGCGCGAGTTGGCTGGCGTCGCAGAGCGCCTTGCCGGCCGCGCACATCATATATGCTCGCACTTGGGGCGAAACAACCCGCTCCCAATACACAGTGCCGCGTAGAACTGCTCCGCCGCTTGATGGCCCATCCGGGCGCTGCGCCAGCAGGCAGCGACCTGCGGAAATGAGTGGCCGAGAGAGTCCGGTGCTCACCCGTGGCGTGTGCCTACTCACTCAGGCTTCACTCGGCCCAGATCTGGTATGAAAGGACCCGATTGGGGCTTGGCCGGAGCCGGGACGACTGTCAAACACGCTGCCATATAGCCGTGGTATTTTGGCCCTCTCGTTTCCGCACCGTGATTCGACATATGCACACACGACACAGACACAGACAGACGTGCGCGCGGTCGTCACTTGGGCCCCTTGGCATTGTGCTTTGGCGCGCCGTACTCGTGGTGGCCCATCGCGCCGCCGCCCATGAAGCCGCCCTTGCCAATCGAGGCGAAGGCCTGGTACCGGAGCAGGTGAGGCGGGACGAAGCCCTTCCCTCCCTTGCCGCCCTTGCCGCCGCCCTTGCCGCCGCCGCTGTCGCCCTTCCCTCCCTTCCCTCCTTTGCCGCCGCGGCCGGCCGCAGCGCCGCCGCGCCCGCCACCCTTGTCGTACGGCGACGGCCGCGCCTTTGGCGCCGCCGCGGCCCTGTCCGGCCCGACGCCGCCTCCCTCTGCCGCCGCCGCGGGCTCCGGCGCGACGCCCTCCGCCGTGACAAAGGCTGCCGCCGCCGGGTCTGTCCAGAGGCTCGCGACGGGCTCAAACTCGTCGTCGGCGGGCACCTCGCCGTAGAAGCTCGGCGCAACGCGTGTCGTCGCCTGGAACCAGCCGCCAACCAGCCAGCCGCGCAGCGTCGCCGCAGGGAAGGGGCCCTGCAGCTGGCCCGAGTCGTCGAGATAGAACCACAGGCTGGCGTTGGCGAGCTCCGTCTCGCGCGGCGACGCCGCTGCAGCGCTGGCCGCCGCGGGAGGCGCTGCCGCTGGCGCTGCGGGCGTGGCACCGGGCGGCGGATGTGGAGGCGGAGGCGGCTGGCGCGGAGGCGGCGGATGTGGAGGCGGAGGCGGCTGGCGTGGAGGCGGCGGGTGTGGAGGCGGAGGCGGCTGGCGTGGAGGCTGGCACATTTTGGCCTCCCGGCAGGCGCTAGCGCCGGCGCGACTGGGAAAGAATAAGCCTTTCCAGCCTGTCTTCACACCGTTCAAACGGGCGCACATGGGGCGCTGGACGCGCAAAAAGAATGAAAAAACAATCAACAGCGGGTCGAGGGGCATCCGAGAATAACTGGTTCTTTCTTTCCGGCCTCTCAGCCTCACCTACTGCGATCATTCTCGATCATGCTGCCTCTCGCCCTGCTCCTCCTGCTCGCGTGCGGTGCGGAGGGCTTCGTCGCACGCGCCGCAGGCCTACCCGCGCTCTCGCCTGTTTGGCCTCGACTGCCTAGTGATCCGCCGCAGAGCGACGTGCCCACGCCGCCGGCAGAGGCACGCCGACCGCTGTCGCGGAGGAGGGCTGCTTGGTCGAGGCTGCCGGCCGATTCAGCATTTGGGCGGCGGCACCAGTCAATACTTGTCAAACGGAGCGCCCTTCGTCGTCCGACCCGGCGGCACTTCTCGCTGTCGGCAGCGTCGCTGTGGGCTGTGACCCTTGTCACTACGTGTATACGACCCGCCCTCGCCGCGGCTGCTGTCCCGCCCGGCGAGCCGTCGCTCTTGCGCGCCGTGCCCTGGCGGCGGGTGGCCAAGGCGCTCGCCGTGCTGTGGACGGCCTCGGTCGCGCTCTCTCTCAAGCAGGCTGGCTCGGCTGCAAACCCGGAGAGGTGCCAGACAGTCAGCCACACCGCACCCAGGCACATACATGCGGCTGGCGGCCGCGCGTGCAGCCTGCCTGGCTCAGGGCGTCGATGGGCGCACCGCGGCGTAGCCCAGACCCATCCCACGCCCATCCCAGGCCAGCACCTGAAGGCGTCCTCCTTGCCTCACCGACGCCCTTCCCCTAGGCGTCGCGCCGGCCAGCCGATACGGTGCCCGTGGCCTTTCGTGCTCGTTGCCCCCCCGTGGACGGAACTCGGGCGGCGGTCGCTCAGCGCGGGCTTCCACGACTGGCAGACGTGGGTTGCTGTCTGCCTCTACTTGTTGCTGCGGGGCTGACCAGAGTGTCTCATCGTTCTCTGGGAGAGAGAGTTTTTTTTAGCAACCAATTTTGATTTTTGTCGTTCTGTGATGTGTTGCTACGGCGCCGAGCTTTTAGGGTCGCCCGCGAGAGGTGGTCAAAAAAATGCGGCCGGTATGTGCGCCATCGCCCTGCCATCTCGCCGCCGCCGCGGCGCTGCCAGCTACAAGCTACGGGTGTGGAGGGTGAGAGTTGACCAGGGGGTTGTGCGCCGGGCCCTCCTGCTCGGCTCCAGCCCCTGTTGATAGGTCCAGGTGATAGTCCTGGATGGGCAATGCATACGCCTCACTGGGCCTTAGATCGCCCGACCGCGTCCCGGTGCTCTGCCGTCGGATTTGACATTTGTGACTCCGCCGCACCGCGCCGCGGCCGGGGGCCCTCCGGAGGCCGAGGATGGCCGTGACGGACCGGGACGAGCTCTGGGAGGTTCAGTGTCAGTGTATATATTGTAGAGACCAACCATGTCCACAATATCTCTCAGTCTAGCTAAGCCTGGGAAGGCGATGCCGGGGCCGTACAGCAGCTTGATGCATGCCACCGAAGGGGCGCTGTCGAGGTTCGCCGAGCGCGGCGAAATCCGGGGACACCGTCACCGACGAGCGCGTTTGAGTATTCACTCCGGACAAAGACAGTGGCACGCGCCGCTGCGCGGTGCGTGCCACTGTCTTAGCGGCGAGGCGCGGGACCGTCTGTGGCGAAGTGGGTCGCGTCCCCGGATTTCCGTCAACCCAGCATCCACACCCTCCACCACCCCGGTCTCTCCCCGCTCCAGTCCACCGCCTCCACACTCCGCTCCACCGTCTCTCCCCCGACGCGCATGGCGCAGGCCACAGCCGGCGCCGCGCGCGCCCGCAGCCCGCAGCCGCCCGCAGGTCCATAGCAGCAGGTTCAAGTTTGGATATGCCAAGTGGTGGACCCCACACGCGCGGCGACGATTCTAAATAAATAAATTATAAAAACGGACACCTCTCTACTGTGAGATGGGTACAAAGGAACAGGTCCCCGCCCGTGCGATCTTTGTGCAGGGTTCTTTGTGGATGTGGTCGGCGACTAGCCGGGGTCGTCCTCCCGATGGGGGACCCTAGCACTAGCCGTCTTCCACATTGTCACTCGGGTCCCTGCTGCTCCTAATCTTTTCATACATCCTCCTGCTGATCTCCCATCTCCGCAACGTCCTGCTCCCTCCCTCGTCTCGCCCTGCGCGTCTGCTCCGCCTCACCGTCGTCTGCCCTGCGTCGTCTGGTGCGACGTAGCGTTGTCTCCCTTTTTTTGTTTTTTTTTCAGCACCTCGGCCCTCGCTCTCCCTCTCTCTCGCTCTCGCTCTCTCGCTCTCTTGTCTCTTCTCCCTCCCTCTCCCCTCTCTCTCTGCCCCCCCCCCCCTCTCCTTTCCTCTCTCACCCCCCGCCACTGCCTCTTTATTTTTCCACGCTCTCTTGAGCACTTAAGCACTGGATAGGGTCGATTCCGCATGGTACGGGACCCCTCGATCGTCTCGCCCTCCCTCACTGGTGTGTTCATCGGGGGGGGGGGGTCATAACAAACACGGTACAGGATCGAGGTGCACGCTGCTGAAGCAGTGTCGTCCCCTCTCTCCATCATCTCACCGGGAGACGTCGGCAGTGATGGCGGTGTTGATGGCGGTGTGACCGATCGAGCTGGGCCTGAGATCGCAGCGACGCTTCCCGTCTCGGGTTTGTGGGGGGTGGAACCACTCCGGAAGGGGCAAGCCCATCGTTTTGAGTTGTGCCTTTCCCCCCCCTGCAAGAGGCAGCAGAGGGTAGTGCCCCCCCGGGTCGCCCGGGGGGGGGGGGGGGGGCTCTTCCATCTGATTAATTGTCCATTTCCCTCCCGTGCAAGAGCGGAGAGGGCTCGGACGGCGTGCGTGAGCGGAGAGGGCAGGGGAAATGGGTGCGGGGGAGGGGGAGGGGGGCTCAGCCGTGCAAGAAGCATCAATTAATAATATTAATGAACAAATATTGCTCGGCCGTCCATGGAGTCCGTCTCGATCTGGAGGAGACCGGTCAACCCCGTGAGGACCAGATCACGTGCATCTCGTCGTAGCCGGAGGGGATGTCGACCTTAAGCTAATTGGCGTCGCCCCTGCTCGCGGCGCCACCACAGCACACCAATGGAGCTTTCGCTGCGGCACACTCCACAGGCGCAGCAGCACTGCGAGGCATTCTCCAAGCACGGCCTCTGGCGTTGCAAGTGCATGGATAGCCAGCAATAGTCGACAAAAGCACTGTTGGTGCGCAGTGGACCACCATGTCGGTCGCGCCCTGCGAAAGTTCAACCGCGGGCCGCGGATGCTTGCTCGGACGCGGGCCCGCCGTGCGAGTTGCAGACCCGGAGGAGGCCGACCCAGCTCATCCCCAGAGAGGCCATGCCCAGGGTCAGCCATGACAGGGGGCTTTTTTCCATCCGTCCACATCACGCTCTCTCCTTTCCTCTCACACTAGACTGCCTGCCTGGAGCACTTGGAGTGCAGTCGGCCAGCCTCACACCCAGGGACGGGGAGCTAAGAAGCGCACAGCGGGCCAGGTGAGTCCTCGCGATTAATTTTTGGGGGCGCGCCGCCAGGCGCGTCCCCACTTTTGTATCACAGCTGCGAGGGCCAACCAAGGGATTCGGCGCGTCAAGTTAACTTGACCGCTCGTTCGGGCTTTGGGCCGCAGGCCGGCGCGCAGCGCCACGCCGCCAGGCGTCCGCCGGAGGCCCGCCGGAGGCTCTTCCTGCGGCCACATTCTGGCAAGATTCCGCCGCGCTCAGGCGCCCAGAGGATGCGTGCGCTGCGCTCAAACGTCGCGATTTGGCAATAGGCGCTCGAGCCGGCGCACAGCGGACGGGTGCGCCGCGCAGGGGGGGTCGGAGGGGTGCGAGAGGGGGCGTGGGTCAGGCGCGCACCGGCCGGCTCCGGGAGCGGCCGTCACGTCGAGGAGGGGGGCTGTCGGCGGCTCGAGCGGCGAGGCGTGCCACTCTGCTTCGCCGCCGACAGCCCCTCTTCCGAGCCGGCGCGTGGCGACGAGCCGCGGCCAGTGTCGCTGGTTCCTTTGGCGGCGCAGCGTTTATCCCCCCCACCCGCGCCCGCCCGCCCGACCGCCCGCCCGCCCTCAGGCCTTGCCCCTTCGCAGGCGCGGGAGCGCTCGCCGGCGAGCACCTCCTACCTCTCCTCGCCCGGCTGCTCCCTTGCCCCGTCGCCCGCCGCGCCCTCGCCCGGCCTCAAGAGCTTGGCGGCCTTTGTCCGCCAGCTCAAGGCGTGGGACGAGGCGTGCGCCGACGGCCGCTCGTCGTGCTGGTTCGAGACGGAGGGCGACCTCCCGCGGCTGGCCGGGGAGGCGCTGCTGGCCGAGGCGGCCGCGACGGGCGCGAGGCGGATCGCCTTTGACGCCGTCGCGGCGCGTCTCGAGGCGACCGCGGCGCCGCCGCCGCCTCTCGGCACCGCCTTGGCCGCGTGGCCCACGGGATGGGGCATCGAGGAGGGCAACTTCTGCGGGCTGGCGCACTGGGCTGTGGAGGTGTGGCACGCGGCCGGGTCGGTCGACGCGAGCCGGTGGCAGGTCGAGGCTGACGGAGGGCGCCTCTTCTTTGTGCGGGTCGCGGAAAAGGCCGCATAATCGCGCTCTCCGCCGAGGCCCGCCTCGGCGACGGCGCTCGCCGCGCCGCAGCAGCAGTAGCAGCAGCAGCAGCAGCACGTGATTCTTGACACATGATTACACTACACAGTCCTCCCTTCGGTTGTCGTTTCGACCCTGTTTTTTTCTTCTATCGCAGCGCACTCGCATCTGTGAGCCTAGCGCAGCGCGAACTCGCCGTCTGAGCCTAGCGCAGCGCGAACTCGCTCTGAGCCTAGCGCAGCGCCTCGGAAAACACCATTTTGGCTCGCCAACAAGCCCTCCGCGCCCCCACACCGTTAGGATAATACTTTTTTCCACGGCGCTCGTCCTAGGAATCCTTCTACAATGGAAGATTTCCTCGCGGGCTCGACCCCGGTTGACCCATCCGGCACTGATCCATGTGCGCCGGCTCGCCTCATCCGGTTGACCTCCGAAGAGGCGGTGGAGCCGTCGTGGCTGGCTGACGCTGAGGCAGGTCTCGCGCGTCTGTCTGGCACCACCGAGTGTCCCGCGAGCGCATCGCGAGAGCAGCCGCCGAAGGAGCTAGCCAAGGAGGCAGACACACATCAAGCGGCACTGGCTGAGGCTCACGAGAGGGCGCTCGAGGAGGCTCACGATAGGGCGCTCGAGGAGGCTCGGAGGCGCTTTCAGCCGACCCTCGTCGCGGCACTCGACGAACTTTCCGCGCGGGCGGCACAGGGAGTCTCGGCTGCGCCGCCCGCGCCAGACGTTTCCGTAACGAGTCCGCCGCCCGCGCCAGACGTTTCCGTAACGAGTCCGTCCCTGGGGGCGGGCCCGGCGGCCGCCTTGACGCTGACCGCCGCCGACCTCGCCGTTCTCGAGTCTGTCGGCTCTCGCGGCGGCTGTGGCGACCGAGACGGCGGAGACGCGTCGAGGGAGGAGCTGCGGGAGAGCCTCGCCCGCCTGCGTGTCGGTGAGCTCAAGGTGCGCGCGCAACATGCCCGGGTGGACCCGAGCGAGGTGGAGAGGGCGATTGACGAGGCGGACGACCCGAAGGCAGCCGTCGTCGAGCTGATTCTCTCCAGACTCGCGGTGCGCGCTGAGAGATTCCCCGAGATTTCTCTCGGGGAGATTCTCCCCAGACACGCCGAGATTCCCGGGGCACGCGGCGCGTAGCGAGAGCACAGGCGCAGCTCCACACGCGAGCGCAAATGCCGTGTCGCGCGTGTCACAGCTGACTTGCGAGGCGAGGCCACGTGTGCTACAAACCATCTCTCACTAACATCTCCAGTGATGCGCCCTCCGCTACCACCACACGCCAAATCCACGCGCCGGCACTCAGGCGTCGACTCAGGCGGCGGAGGGCGGCGGGGCGGCGGACGAGCGGGCGGAAGAGCCGCCCGAGGCTCGCCACGACGAGGTGCCTGCGGCTGCACCAACGCCGCCGGTGCAGGAGCGCCCCCGCTTTCGCCTCATGCTGTTCGCCACCACCTTTCCTGCCGCCTACCCTGCCGCCTCCCTCCTGTTGCGCACCCACACGGCCACGCCCTCATGCACCACCTACAGCACTTCACACCCCCGACGACCCGAGAGAGACGAGCCCTCGGAATGGAGAACAGAGAGGCGGGTGCCTCATAGCTCGTGTCCCGCCCTCTCCCCTCTCCCGCACCGCTCTCCATGAACCGTTATTCCGCGCTCCCCTACCGCCCCCCTACCCGCCTCCCCACCCGCACCCCCCCCCCCTCACACGCCTCCCGCGCGACAGGTGGAACACGCCGCCGTGCTCTCCTCCCTCAGCGCAATGTTCCCCGCCCTCGGCGAGGAGGTCG